GAATACATAATACCATAAAATAAGATACGTTGTACATAAGGTATAATAATACCATATCTTTTATAGATAATATCTATGTTTCATTTGTTATGTCATCATCAAATAAAGGTCGACAATCGTTATGATCATTACCAAAAGTTTGTCAACGTCCTTTAGATGATCTACGACAGATTGAATTAACAAAGAGCAATCCTAATCAGAATGGCCATGCGTTAAATGAACATTAATCAAGGGTCGGGCGAGTATAGGTGTGAACGTGAGTGTGAGTGTGATTCAAGAGAAAAAAAAATACTCAGACCCATCAACAGCCGCATCCACACCTACTCACACCTTGAATGCCTGAAGGGTGTCGGTTTGGATCCAGATCCAAATGTGCATGCTCATGGTGATGTGGGTATGTCTGTAATTGTGGTTATTGATGCCAGGATGAATGAGTGTAGATATGCCTCTTCTCTTAATCCATATCTTACGCCAACATCAACCAACACTCCCCACACTCATACTCACATCATTCCACATCCACCCTTCTTTTTGAATTTTATTTTTTTGGCGCTTTTATGTGAGTAGTTTTGTCAACATAAATTTCTGTGAGTTGTTTCTTTTTGTTGTACATTTTTTATCCGTGTTTACTCTCGTAGCTTTTTCTTTCTGTTATGTTTAAAAGCGAATGTGTGCATTTTTTTCTTCACAAATATAGTTGGATGACATAAAGGGCTTATTTCTTTTGTTTCTCAATGTTGTAACTATTGAATTTATTTTTTGACAGTTTTTTTTCGTTTATACAGTGTGACAAAAATGAAAAGCTAAACAATCGAAGACAACCATGGAGACCAGAATACAATGAATTTTTTTTATTTCTCTATCTTGCTTTAAGCGTATAGTTACATTAAAATTCATTATGTTTAAACTTTCTCTGTGTTTCTTGTGATTTTGCGATCAGTAAACGAAGTTTTAAATAGAGTGACAGCCAAAAGTAACATAACACATATTTTTTTCAATTTTTTTTGTATATAGTCAACTAAATGTCATTTTTATACTACGTATTCTAGGTGGTATAATTCAAAGATGCAGCCTATAATCAGTATCTAGGTTTAGCAATTTATTCAAATGCCTATAAACTCAGGGTGGCCAAAACAAACGAAACACGTTTGAAGGCTATATTTTTTCTGCCATAATATGTATTATTTTGTCTTCTCTACTAGTATTTCTATATATGTCAGTGATGGCATCTGACAGACAACAACCAAAGCGGTTAACTCTTATATGCCGATTCGATTTTTTTCTGTCTTTGTACTCTCGGTTGTGCGTAATACAAGTTTTGTTAGAACCCAAACGTGCTTTCTTATTCTTGATCGCCCTGTATTTGTACTCATTTGAACAAAATTACTACACCTAGATATTACTCATATGCTGCATCTTAGAATAATGTCACCTACTAGATGTGGTTTAAATATGACATTTAACTGCCTATGAACAAAGAAAAAAACAAAAGAAAGCTATGTGTTACGTTAGATTTGGCTTATTCTGCATAAATGCTTCGTCCGCGACATGTTCATTTTGCTTTAGATACAATAAAATTATTCGAATTTCACGAATTTTTCGTTGCACTCAATTCATATTTACTATTATATTGTTCATCAATTTATTTGGCTACACTGTAAGTATTGCTGTTTCGACGATTGATCATTTATTTTTTTATAGCATTACAATAGAGCTTTTCCCTGAAATAATTTCTCTGTTCAATTTTGTTTTACTTAGAAAAGTATATCGACTAATTTCATCCCACAGCCATGTACCTTCAAAATATTAAAGCATGTATCACGGAATAATGAATTTTCTTACAATTAACTTTTATTTGTTACACGTATGCTCGGTGGCTCTAAGTACCCTGAAAAAATTAGCGCTAGAGAGTTCTGTTTAGAGGAGTTATCAGTAAAAAACTAATGTTAGCGACATGATGAACTTTGAGTATATAAATGAAACAACGCTCATGGAAAGATGTGCGTGTGGAGTAGCTGCCAAATTTAAGTTTGAACATAAATGAAAATTTCAAAAATATATCAGGTTCCTTTTGGGATAAGCAAAAGATCAAGTTTAATTCGAATTCGAATTTATAACTGAGACAAGGCTTCCATATAGTTACGGCGAAAAAGTAAAAGATAAACTATCATTTGAATTATGAATGGAAAATGATACGGCATCTCGTCTGAAAGTCGGTGAAGTAAGGTATGTCGGCTGGTTAGGATTTCTAAGTTTATGTTGTAGTTCTGAGACATTCGTTCTCTGATGCACATATCCTAATTTATGTTTTTAGTGTTTTCTGCCACAGTTATTTGCCTTTCCGTGACATTAATATGATGTGCGAGACCATCTGTCAGTTTTGTCGCGCGTTTTCCTTATGTTTGAGAATTTCTGCTTGTAATGATTCTACTTAGTATCGCAGATTGGCCGTGCCCAAACATTTCAGCTTTTAAAAATCGGTTTGCTTGGTGAGAGTAGCCTACATTTTGAAAGTTGTTTGAATGAAGGAAAATCATTTGGTAATGCCTGAGGGTGTGGGTATGAGTGTGAACCCTCTCTTCATGCCCACATCGACACTCATGCTACACACACTCACAAACTTCGTAGCATCAAAAATTGGATGCATGAAATTTCACACATTTTGAAAATAAAGGTTGTATTTATAAAGTTAGGTTTTCAATGAAACTTGTAGAGCTTTTCATGCGGCATCTTACGGTATATTTTGTTTTAAAATAGCAGACTACATGATAAAAAAGGAGATACAAAAGCCGGTCATTCATTATGAGATACCCATTTTATGAGAGAATGGCCAGCTAACAGTCACCCTTCCTTGCGAAGGTTCGAAGTCAAAAGGTTAGAAAACTATACGTATTACTTGAAAGAGCGTAGTTAATAGTTTATGAAACGGATATTGCCAGCTACCTAACAATTCACTGTTCAAAAGGGAATATTTCCAGGTACCCATTCGCTTTTGAGTCGAGACTTTGCGCATCTTTTAGACCCAGATAAATTATGTCTACCATATAAAAATTTTCTGCCCCTAGCTGGTTTCTGAGGAGATCGAACGTTTGTAGTTTTATACCTCGATGTTTCCACGGTATCTCAAGTATGTCGTACAAAATTGATCTCCGGTGTTGATGAAATTTTCAGCGTTGGTAGAGCTTTTAATTTTAAGCATTTTGATAAAAGAGCATGTCTGAGAACACTCTTCTTTTAATGGAGATAGACTCAAAATACCTTAATCCTTTGAGGATGGTGGGACATACGTTGTTCCATCTATTGTCTACTAGAGAAAATGTTTCTTCTCCACTAAAGTGTTATAGCCTGTAGCATAAAAGGTGGCCTCATCGATCATCTCATGCATATACTTCCCCGCTTTCTTCCTGTCGTATAGGTTCTTCTCAAATGTTCTTCTTTCTTTTACTACACATTGACTTCATGAGACCACCTTCTCTTTTCTTGATATATTATCATCAGGTTTTTATGCAATCATTTTGAGCCAAATACAATGAATTGATTGAAGAGTCAGCTTTCCTTTGAAAAATAATTCTATTCTCAAAAGGTTGAGCAGTAAAAATTCAAAAACTTTCAAAAACATTTTTTTCATGACAATTCTTGGGCTTTTACTGCTTAAGTGTTTCAAGCCTATCTTCGTTAAAACAAGAGCGTTCTCAAACACATCCTTTTATCAAAATGCTTAGAGTTAAAAGCTCGATCAACGGTGAAAATTTCATCAACACTAGAGATTAATTTTGTACAATATGCTGGAGATGTTGTGGAAACATCTAGATAGGGTGTGACTGTGGGCGTAGATGCGGCTCTTCCCATCATACATAATCATACACACACGCAGTCCACACCCACACCCATCAAACTTCTCCTGGTTCTCTTCAAATGGATAGGACGTATTTCCCAATCATCGAATTAGGCTGAAAACATTTTATTTACATAGTTGGATACGAAAACAGAAAAAATTCAGGAAAAAATTTTTATAATTGGTTTTTGGTTGATGAAACGAGTCGGATCTTTTAATACGTTTTTCAAATTTTTCGCCAAGGAAGGTCTTCTAATATGGGAGTCTTCCATTAAGGAGGGTCTTCTATCATGGAAGGGAGGAGTTAACATAGTACAAGAGCGATTCGACAAAAACTTCGATCGTCATAACCAGATGTCAACTGAAAATCATGATCGACCTGCTCGGTCAGGTCGATCAAGATTTTCTGATGGTAATTTGTGATTATGCTATTTTTTCTCCGATGGAAATAGACTTTCAGATTTGAAACATAATCACAGGTTTTTCGGTTTCACATTATACACGAACATACTTGATCATACTCTGTTATCAGGCAATTATCTATACTTGTGCATAGTCATCTGCCACACGAAGTGTTGTAATACATCAAAAAAAAGCAATAAGAAATTCATAGATTGCTGAGCAGCTAAAATAAATTTCTGTGTGTATTTATTCTATGAAAATCATGAAAATTTTGTTCACTGAATAGTTGTCGCGAAGTCATTCGTCAAATATTACTATATCCGATCCTCCTGTGCAAGATAGAATAGATACGGTACGAAACTTTTCAAAAAAACATTGATCAAAATTTTTCTGCAGATAACAAGCGTCAACGAGGGTGTTGGAAGCATACTATGACGAATGAGATGGGAGACCAGCCGGGACAAACCTCAGCGATCATTGACCAAACACCTGCTACACGAATAGGTATTTCGAAAAAACAAATGATCGAAGTAAACTAAACAAAAAATATTTTATATCTATAGCCCAACCGCAACCGGGCGTTTTAGTACAGACGCCCAATGTACGCGAGTTTCGACCGCAATCAAAAAATGATCCTTTTCTCCCTATTTTGCGCGACTTATTCATTCGTTCGTTTGATACTTACTATAAAGAAATCGAAGAACAGCTAAAGCTCAAAAGTGATAAGACTCTAATCCAGTGGCTTGATGAAACATTTGATGAAATGGAAGATGAGATGCTTGATGCATCATGTCGTTGTTTTGTACTTAGTGGAGATCAAGATGAGATAGTTGGCTTTCTTACTCTCAAAGATGAAGGAAACAACTCGATCTATATTGCCCAATGCGCTATTCGAGCTGATATCAAGAGAAAAGGTTATGGAACTCAACTACTTCTTCATCTGCGTACCATCTATCCACCTGGTACTCATTATTGGGGTCTTTGTCGGCGAGCAAACCGACCAGCTGTTCAGTTCTACATTCGACAAGGAGCGAAATATATCAAGGACGACGATGTGGCCAACAAATATGGTTATGATCCAAATTTATATACAGGTTTTGAGTTCGACGATCCAACACCCATCGCTTCTAACAGGTAAAAAAATATTATTGGCTGAAATATCTTTTGAAGTTGCATATAATTTTTAGTGAGAACAATATACCACCATCCGAACCAATGGATCGTTCAGTTAATGCTAGCTTGAAACCTTCCGATCCTTCTCAGTAAGTCTTTCTTATATCAATTTAAATAGTAGAAAAATCAGGAAGCCCATAATATAATTACTTGCAACCAACCATCTAAACACTGTGTGGAACTCACTATAAAAATCATAAGTCTAAGTTTGAATGCTAATTTGGGAGATTTCCCTCCCTTACAGATGTCTCCGACCTGACAGACACCTCCTCTCACGGACATCCCTTCGTTACAGAGAACGCTGCTTGAAAATGGTTTTCGAACCACATATCGTATGATAAATAGAAAAAAACCAATTAAATTAGAATTTTCGAACCATGGCATCATTGATTTTTGATACATAGGATTTCGGATATTTTTTGAGCTTAGCATTGTGGGTTTTTTGTGGCTTTAGGTACTGAACTTTTATGGAATTTAAAGTTTCTTTATTGATTTGAAATCCCGAATCCAACGGCCTCTTTTTTTCTCGTCCTACGGTATATTCGCCCAGTTTATAGACGATTACATACACTTCAAGAAAGTGCTGGCTGAGTCACCTCAAGGATTCTGATGAAAATTTTCTCATTTATTACGATGATATTTTGGTATGTGTTCCACATGTTAGCCCCATTGGAGTTGGGCTTGTAAGATTTTTTCGCAAGAAATCAGATAAAATCAATTACGTTTTCCGACTAGTCATTGATTAAAATGGCACAACTTTGATCTAATTTAAAGTGTTCTTGCAGCTTCAAAGAGTTATTTACTGATTCTGAGATTTTTCCTCATCAGTCTTGATCAACTGACAAAGACTGATCGATATTAACGAGCTAATGAAGCTCAATAGATGAACATAAATGCTTTAAAAAAATCAGAGACAGTAGCGGGACAACACTTTAAGACACATTTTGTATTTTATCGATTTTGCCGTTGTCGAAGAACAGAAAACGTTTCAAAGTATATCATTAGTTCCAACATTAAGCGAACTACATTTTGATATAAATATTCTTGAAAAACTATTGTTTGTGATAATTAAATATTAATAATGATTAATTATCAATTATAGAAAAATCTTGCGATAATTTTCAGTTTTGAAGTATATTATATAAAAGAACATTGAAAACTAAATAAAGTTGTATGTTTTTTTTTTGTTTTACAATAATCAATCTTAATAGAATTTTTAAGGAATTTTTTAGAATTTATTTAATATGGTGTAAATAATTGATCTTAAACAGGCAATTTCAACAGTTTGAAAAGCAATATATTCTCTAGAGCAGAGTTTATTTTGTCGACTAAGACCTGGTGCTCTTTTTTTTAAGACTCAATCTTCAAGTTAGACAACGTTTTCAGTTTTCATTAGTAATTTCAGTGATGACCTCTAGCTATTCGTCCCCTTGTTTTGGATAAACTATTTTCAACGAGCTGTATATCATGAATAGCACATCATACAAAAAGGCGACCGATCTTGTTGGGAAGAACAAATTCTGCTCTACAAAATGCACTTCTTCGAGAGTTTTGAAACTGTCTGTTTAAGCTCAATTATTAATAGCATATTACATATATTTTAAAAAATTCCTTAAAAACTTCTATTAAGACTGATTATCGTAAAACAAAAAAGAACATACAGCTTTATTTAGTTTTCAATGTTCTTTTATATAATATACTTCAAAACTGAAAATGATCGCAAGATTTTTCTATAATTGATAATTAATCATTATTAATATTTAATTATCACAAACAATAGTTTTTCAAGAATATTTATATCAAAATGTAGTTCGCTTAATGTTGGAACTAATGATATACTTTGAAACGTTTTCTGTTCTTTGACAACGGCAAAATTGATAAAATACAAAATGTGCCTTAAAATTTTTTCTTCCACTTTAAATCGGTTTTTAAGGCTGGAAAAATTGACTTTCATTTAGTTTTTAAAAAAAAACTTTACTTGAGCAATAAGATTCTTTGGATGTGACAAACTCTTGTGAGTACTAAGAGTTTCATATTGAGCTTTCGAGGTTTCAGTATTTGAATCATAACCGATTAATGACCGTTGCTTTTACTTTTAGTACACACTCAGATCCAAGGCTGGTGTCTTCAAGCAATGAAAAGAAACGCATCTGTCAAATTTTATGAACAATATGAATCAATCTTTCTTAAATTATAATCTAGAGATATTGCGAGAGAAAACAATATGCATGGAGTTAAATCTGCTTTGTTATTACACACGGCTTATAATAAGACTTAACCTTTTTAGCGATGTGCTGAAAATAATCATCTTCTTCTGCTATTTTAGATATAGTAGTACGAAGGATTCTTCTCCTTGAGTGTCAATAAGATAACATTTGAAGAGTGAACGGTAAGTTCTCTGGAATGTATGTCATCATCGAAGTTCCATCCTGAAGAGAGAATATTTTGTTGCGGGGCACATCATTCAAGTTCCATGGGATTGAGAGAAGCACAATAGGTTCGCTTCGATATATCTATCTGTTGCTATGACATTGGATTGTAAGTTGACATAATAGTGGAGATACGATTTTCTTGAAAATCTTTTGTTATTTTAGCTTCAAAGTTGTACCTTTTTAATTTCACTAGAGTTTATCTTGATGACAATCTTAAGATTGTTCGATTCACTTAAGCTAAAATGTAAGCGTAATGTGTGAGGAATCTAGGCGAAAAACTAATTTGTTATTCACCTATTAAAACATAGAACATGTCATGGATTGATGGTTTCAATTAGTTAAAACTCTGTATTGAAACTAACAGTTCACTTTTTAGAAGATACAGTGAAGATATCACTCTACAGTATTATGATGAGAATGAGGAAAATGTTATTGACATTCAGTTTCTTTCATAATATAACAGAAACGGAATCAATAAAAAATATGTTTTTGAAGAAATGGGTAACAAGCCACAATCGCCAATAATATCCAAATCCGCGTCTAAAACCAATACCACTACGTTATCGACACAAAACTGTACATCATCATCAAAAAAATTATCCGAATTACCGAACGGTGTATCCATCATTTGGCTCAACGCTGATGCACAAAACGACTCGAATGATGGATGTACAACTAAAACCATGCTTCGATTGCTACATTCATCAGTTTTTTTCTACACAGACATCGAAACATGTCTCGCTTTCATTCGATCGATCAAAAATAAACAAGCAAAAGTATTTCTTATAGTCTCAGGATCACTCAGTTTAGCCGTTCTGCCCAATCTCGATACACATCCTGCAATCGATTCTGTCTTCATTTTTTGCAACCGACCTGAAAGATACAAGCATTTAATTGACGAATACAAGCCTTATGTGATCAATGTATTTACGAATCAAGATGAACTTGAATCATCTTTAAGATCAGAATTGGATGGATTTCAGCTTCGCCAACTTGGTATGAATTTCTTTGCCCAAAAACAAAGTACCACTCGAGATTTGACCTATGATGCTGCTTCTTTCCTCTGGTTTCAACTATTAAAATCGACACTTGTTCTGAGTCAATACAATGATAAGGACAAAAACCTCATGCTTAACTATTGTCGTCATCACTATGCAAGAGATCGAGCGAGAGATAAATTTTATGCACAGATTGATGCCTTCGATAGAGACTATACTCCGGAACAGGCGATTATGTGGTACACGAAAAATGGTTTCATCTACAAACTCGTTAATGCTGCTCTACGCACAGAAGATGTTGACGCCTTATATATTTTTCGCTTTTTTATTGCTGATCTTTGTCGACAATTGTTTGCGCAACATAAAATCATTCAACAGCAATGTCGAAACCAACCTATTATTACCCTTTTTCGAGGCTGTCGAATGCCTCGAGAAGAAATTGAAAAACTAAAAGAACATATTGGTGGAATGACCAGTTTAAATGGATTCATCTCGACTAGCTACAAAGAATGTGTAGCTGAAAAATTCATGAACCAACGATCGAGACAGTCCGATGCACAAAAAGTACTATTTGAGATTACTGCAGATACTCAAGCTGAGAAGGTCGTGTTTGCCAGTATTGGAAAGCTGAGTGACTATCCTGATGAAGAAGAAGTTCTCTTCAGTCTGGCTTCCGCTTTTATCATTAATGATGTAACACTTGACAATGCAACGCAAATGTGGCACATCAAGATGACCGCAACGGATGTTGGTGCCAAAGCTGCTGATGATTACATTAGTCTTATTCACAAAGAATATTCGAATATCAGCGTTACGATAATTTTTGGACAGTTACTAATCGACATGGGTAAATACCTTACTGCTCAAAAATATTTTTTGGAGCTACTTCAACGAATTCAAGATCCAGAGGATCCAGATCTTGGGCACATTCACTATAATCTGGGGTTGACGTATACTTTTCAGAAAGAGCTCAACAAAGCCGAACAACATTTGTTGCAAGCTTATGAGTATCAAAAATTAATGGACTCTCAAAAGCGAGATGTGGTTCGAACACAAAATGCTCTTGGTTGGGTCTATCAAGACAATGGAGAATTAGAAGAGGCTATGAAGTTCTACAAAAATGCTGAGAAAATTGGGAAACATCTGCTAGATGCCGATCATTTGGCCAACGCTCAAACATATTCAAACATGGGCAATTGTCATCTCGAACGTAGCCAGTTTGAAGATGCTCGCAAATGTTATAACAAAGCTCTACGCATTCTACAAATTCATCTTCCAAGAGATCATCCTCGAGTAGGTGTCATTCTCAACGATTTAGGGAATGTTAGTCGAAAAGAAACGGACGCTGCTCGAGTTAAAGGAAGCCGATTGATCGCTTTGAAGGCGGACGACTGGAATAAAACACTAGACCTGTATCGTCAGGCAGAACAAATTTTTTGCTCACATTTACCTATTCATCATCCATGCACGGCTTATTGTTGGAGCTGTATGGGTTTGCTATATTTAAGAGAAAACAATATTGATCAAGCTCGATTTTATCATGCGAAGGCACTGAAATCATATCGATTATCTTTACCCGCTGACCATATAAATATTGAAATAAGTGAACAGAACTTAAAATGTTCCGATTACCAGCGTGTGAATGATTCTTATCTTCGAGGTT